ATGAAAAAGATAATAGATATCTTCATACAATGGAGCTGTTGTTTGGAGTTTTTGAAAGTGCAAAAGATATTGATTTGCATTTTGAAGTTCATTCCTATAAAGGTCATGACTGATTACATTTTTTTAGCAGTGAAATGTACACATGAATGAAAATCCTGCTGAGATGAAACATCAGGATTTTGGCATTTCAATCTAGGCAACAGTCAATAGATGATATTGCAGTGGTCTCTCTGGTCATCAGTTCTTATTATTTCATTGCTGAGGCCCTGATAATCCTCCAAACCTGTCATTCTGCAGTCCAGAAGATAATGAAAACTCAGAGCACAAATTCAAAGTGAAACTTGCCTACCATCATTCTGGTGGACTTTGGGGAGCTTCAAGTGACAGGAGGAGTTAGGCATGTCTATGCACTTGTGAAAAGGAAATTCATCATCTTTTATCATTTAAGCATTTCTCCTTAGAATTCTCAAATTTTTTTACAATGTTACTGAGGAAGTTGGTGACCCATAAACTCGCATCACAAATATCTGTTGTTTCATCACTTATAGAGGCTTAAGTAATATCATAGGACAAGGTATATCTTCAGAGAATTGGGGATTACTGCAAGAATTTATACAGTGCTAATTTAAATGAAATTTGGTGAGGAATTCCTAAACGTTTTGGAGAACACAACACATTCAATACAGATCAGTGTTCATTTTCACATTGTTCCTGGAGCTGAGTTGTAAAGAACAAAGGACTGCTCAGAAATATTTTGTACCTGAAGAAATGGAAGAGACTTACTGCAAAATCTGCATTCAGCCATTGCCCACAATCTACATGGTGTGCAGACCCCTTCCTCTGGGGTTCTGGTGCCCAACCATGGAAAATACAATGGATGGGTGATGGTTTTAGTATAGATGAAGCTGATGATAAAATCTATTGTCCATATGGCAAATGAAGTTTCCAAGAGTAACATGTATGAAAAAGGAATGAAAAATCTATTCCCACCAACAGATCTTGTAATAGCTGTGAACAGATACATTGAGCAAATCTCTGTCATTCTTTTGCAACTCTATATAGCCATTAATTAGCTTTGATTGGAAATGACAGAAATGTGTGGCTGGAAGGAGCCTTGAGATTGCCTAGTGCATCTGCTTCCCTAAGGCAGGATCAAAAGTGTCTAGATTACAGTTGATAGGTGTTGAATTGGTTTTTAGAAGCTTCTGGACAAAGAGTTTCCAAACCTCTGTTGCTTCAGTGCTTACTTATCCCTGGAGTTTCAACTCCTCTCTGTCCTAAATCGTCCTGACTGTAAATTAAAGCAGTTACATCCAGGCATCTTTCAACTTTGATATACGCTACTGGCCACAGTCATGCAAATATTTATTAGTCAATTTATTCTTTGCACAAGACATAGTATTTGGGAGTGCCTCCCTGGTCATAAAATGTAATTATTGTAGATGTTTTCATGACCAAGAACTTATTACTACACTAATCACACTACCCAAAACACTGTGGTTATTGTTATCTACTGAGCTACTTCAACAAATTATGGACTTGGAAACCTGAAACGCCCTTCAGAGCTGCTCAGCCCTGTAGAGCATTACATAATTTTCACAGTTCTGAGGAGAAAGGTATTGTTTTTGACCATCAGACTGGATGTTAAAAGTAATTGTTCTTCCTCGTTCCTGTGACAATCCTTGTCAACAATAATGTTGTTGCTCTCATATTATCCTGGATAACATTTAATAAACTCCTCATTTCTGGCCTGCCTGTAACTTAGATACATCACTTTGTGAAAAACAGATGCTTGTATCCCAGCTGATTGTAAACATTTATGTATAATCTAATGCAGAACTTGTGACCAGTATCACTTACCAACCAAAAAACAAAATACTTTTACTACACAGAAAAAGATATTAGAGAAAAGCTGATTTTAAAGCAATACACTTCCACGAACCATTACTTCATGCAGTATACTCAAAGTAGTCCCTGCTATTTTGGTCTTGCATGCTTTTAGATGTGAACAAGAATGCCTTGACAGAACATGATGCCAAAGAGCGATGATATTTGACCTGGGACACCCATGCGAAATCTATTAACTCACAGAAGTGTCTCACACTGTTCCAGATGAAGGCAGGTGTCTAAACACAAAATACTGATGAAGGGACATTAAAGGTGTTTGGGAAATCATGGCACAACTTTTCCCACACAGATATCAATTTTTGGACCAGTGGAACAGTGTCCCTGTGGTACAGCAACACATAAAACCACTGCTGCTGGTGGTGAAAAGTACCATTTGACCCTTTTCCTAAGCCTTCATCTTGTACGAAGTAAACTTTACCACTGAGCCACAGGAGGTAAACAGGAGCTGGAGCACCATCAAATACTTGTGGGGTAACTTCAAAGCTTTGATCCTGCCAGCAAACTTTCTCACTTGAGAGTGAGGAAAACCTGCAACTACATATCTTCATTCACAGAGCTGCAGTTTACTGTGTAGTCAAGATGGGGTTTATTTTTTTCCCCCTGTGTTTGGAAACCAGCTACCAGATGTACTCATAAATATATTCTTTGTCAGTCTTTGTGCTACATGGAGAGACACAACAGCATGGGATCATTTGTAAAATGGGACTTCATGATGGCCCTTCTTTCTTCCTTGTATGCACAGATGTCTGAGCAACTCAGCTGGAGACTTGGGGCTGAATCCTGTTCTTAGGCATGGGTGAAAATAGACCTTAACTCCCCTGATATCAGCTCACTGATAAAATATTTTAATAGCCTATAAATGCATACTGTGTACATGCAGAAAATTGTATAGACAGAAGAGACCAGAATTCAACACAATTTAATTTTATGGTACACCTCCATTATCTCTGTCACCATCATGAATCTCAACAATCAGGACTGCAGGTTTGTAAACTTTAGAGTTACTAACATTCACTAAAACCTACATGTATTGCAGTACTTCACTCACTCTTGTACAGATATAAAATGAGCTTTGCTATGCAGAAGCAAACTGCACAAATACACTTAGATAACCATTCTTATAACTGAAAATCAGTAAGGACAAATTTAATGATTCAAGGCCTTACCTGAAGTGGGTTTTGGCATAGAAAAACACTCAGCTCACTATTTCATGCTACATTATTGTCGTGGTTTCAGTTGGGACAGTTAATTTTTCTTCATAGTAGCTATGAGTGCTATATTTTGGATTCGGTATGGGATTTGGTGTGAGAAGAGTGCTGATAATACACAATGATGTTTACAGTTGTTATTAAGAGATCAAGGTCTCTCCAACTCCCCATGTCCTGTCCATGCACAGGTGTACAAGAAGCTGGGAGGGGGCACAACCAGGGCACCAGACCCAAATTAGCCAATGGAATATTCCATATCATGTAACATCATGCTCAGTATATAAAGGAGGGGCAGCTGGGAAGGATGGGTGTTCTTTCTTGCTCCTGGGATTGCAACTGTGGGATCTTGTTTTTTTCAGGATCACTAGCTGGGAACAGGCTGGGTATCAGTTGGTGGGTGGTGAGCAATTGCATTGCGTATTACCCATTTGTACTTTCTATTATTGTTATGGTTTTATTTTATCACAATTACTAAACTGGTTTTTATCTCAACCTATGAGTCTCCCTTTATCCCTCCGCTTCCCCCATCCCCTGGGCAGAGGGAGTGTGGACGAGTGGCTGCATGGTGTTTGGCTGCTGGCTAAGTTCAAATCATGACAATTATAAAATAGATACTAAATAATAATAATAATCATACCATGTAAGAAAAATAAAGCAAAGAAGATTGCCATGTATTTGCTGTTTTAAAATACTTCCCTTTATATTATCATATTTGGCAAACTGCAACTCAGCCTGTGTTGTGGGCTGACCCCAGCCAGCAGCCAAAGGCCCACACAGCCACTTGTTTACTCCCCACTGTCCCCAAAGGGCTGGGGAGAGGATAGGAAGAACAAAAGGGGAAAAAAATGTGAGTGGAGATAAAGGCAATTTAATAGATAAAAGAAAGAGGAAAAAAACCAAACAATACAAAAGCAGTCACTCACCATCTCACACAAGCAGGCCAGAGTCCAACCAATCTCTGAGCAACAGACAACATGGAAGCAAAAAAAAAATCCCACCACCCCTTCTTCCTCTATCCCAGTTTTTATTGCTGACATGATGTTACATGCTATGGAATACCACTTTGGCCAGTTCAGGTCAACTGTCCTGTCTGTGTCCCCTCTCAGCTTCTTGTCCACCTCCAACTTGCTGGGGGCAGGGACAGAGTGGGAAAATGAGAAATCCTCAATGCTGTGCAGGCATTGTTCAGCAACAGCCAAAATATTAGTGTTACCAACACTTTTAGCCAAAAATCCGAGACCACCATACAGGCTGCTATGAAGAAAGTTAACTCCATCCCAGTCTCACTCAGTGCACCCCAGTACAGATATGAGACAATTGCATTGATATATTCTCAAAATATGATTTGAAGGATAAGGTACTTTAGAGGGATTTTCATCCACTATGAAATTCTGGACTGAGAAAGCTTTTCCCCTCAGTGGTCTCCCCTCTATCATTTAGTAAGATAATTTCACACTCATCAGACAGAAGGCTGTAGTACTGTCAGGATGAGAGATTACAGACTTAGAACAATTTTCCTCCAAGGACAAACATCTTATGGTCTTGAAGGAGTGTGGTTTTTCAGGCACATGATAAACACCAGAGTTTTGGGGAAGAGTTTTCTTTGAAACATTTCCCAGTGATACTAAAAAAACAAAAACAAAAACCCAACAACAAACCACCTTTAGCATCCATTGTTATTTTCAGAATGGCAAATCAGACAAATACAGGTGGAAGACATTTGAGTTCCTGGTGGTGGTAAATTACACCTCATTATACTTTTAGTTCATGGATAAAATACAACCAGCAAGAGACAAGAGACAGGGCAAGATGTTCAAAAGCATTGAGTACCTAAGGCATCTTTCAAATCAGGGTTCAGAAAGTCAAACCAATTAAATGCTTTGAATACCTTTATTGCTGCCACACTATATGGTTCAGGAAACTACTACAGTTTAACAGGATTACTATAGTTAAATTTACTTCTAAGTTATAGTTCATTGTTGTAAATGTACTAAGCTTTGGAAAATCACATACACTCATGGCATGCAATGTGCCAGACCATGTGTCTACATATGCTGCTTGCAGCAGGAGAGAAAAATGGGAAGAAATCAATATTCAGCTTTTGCCAGAAACAACACACCAGCATGGCACAGCTGAGGACAAAGGAGGTGCAGTCCACTTTTTGTGGTCAGACAACATGTCACTGCAGGGCTTTTGGGTTCCCCCTGAAACCTGCCCAGGCTTTATCAGACAGATGGCTAGCATCATTGTGAAGGTGTTTGTGGCTTAGATTTGCACAGCAGAGAAATGGGACTGCTCTGGTGACCTTAGCGCACCTTAGGGACCCCTTACGGCACAACACTGATGAGCCTGCACTCCCTCAGGAGTTGCTGCATCACACTGCAAAAGCTTGCTGCTGGATCACAGTCAGGCAAAGACCATAACCCCCCAGAGCCCACCAGAGGAGGACTTCTATCCCCTGTGCTGAACAGGAAGACCAGCTTACCTCTGCCCAGGGATAGCTTTTGTGTCTCTATCCCTGTGGGAAGGGCTCTTGTCACTTCAGAGGTCCTTCCCAAAGGAAAGGGCTGGAGAGAGTACCTGATGAGAAGAGTGAGGGACAAATGCAGCTATATATCTCCATGCCCAATATCTGTGTGGAGCTTCAGGAGATGAACATGACCTGTGGGTTTCACTACCGTCGTGGCAGCCAAGATCCTCCCCTCATGGTTGTGTTAAGATGCTGGAGTTGGGGGTGCTGGAGATATGTGGGAGGAAAGTGGGGAGTTCAGGACCGAGCTATCTCTGGCTTGGGACCTGGCAGCTGGGGAGGAAGGTCTGCAACAGCTTCTGAAGGCTGGCCTCACCACTAGCCTTGCCATACAGCTAAAGAGGGGAAGCATCATTCTGGACTTCTTATATATACAGCACTTCACCCAACTGTTTAGACAACCCAACTCCAATGAGAGTTTTTATGGTTAAGAATGAAATAAAAATGAAGTAAGCTCCATTAGAGTTGTCCTCTCATTTGGGAAAGAGTTCTAAACAGGAAAGACCCATTATAATTTTTGCCAGTAGTCTTGCCAAAGCAGCTTCATGTTTTTTCTTGGGATCAAGATTATGGATATCAGGAAATGCCAGTGATACTTGCAACATGTTGTTTATGCCTTACTCCTTTCTACCACAGTATTGTGCTCTCTTTGGGAAAACAAGAAGTAGAACCTACTCTAGCCTTAGGGGGAACAACATCGGCCAAAAAATAGAATGTTCTTGCTTGGATTGTGTTTGATTAAGAAGAGGAATGGGTGGTCAGTTCTGAACTCATAAGGAATGTGGAAGGACGACGCAAACACAATCATCCCTGTAGCAGCAGCTGCCTCAGTGCCTTCTTCGTTAATTTCCACAAAGGACTTGTGAATGACCCTGGAGAGGAACAGCCCAGGCTCTGTTGAAATCCCAGAGAAATCAGCTTGTTCAAGGATGAAGGCATCCCTCATCCCCAGAGCCTTCAGTACTGCTGTGAGCTCATAGCTCTCCTTCATTCTGAACCGGGGCAAGTATACTGTAATTTCTTGCAGATACACATTCTCCATGTTGGTCCATTCTGCTAATTTCTCATAGGTGATAGCACTCTCTAGCTGCAAGGAGAAAACACAGGGTATTAAGGTCATGAGAAACTAGATCAAAATGCTCAAAACACCACTTTCCTGTAAGGAAAAGCCTGTGATTTTTGTGATAAAGACAGAAACTGTGCCCTACAGCTGCCAAGTGTGAAACCAGGCAAATTCAGATCCAGCCTTCTCAGAGGGATCATTCTCACTTGTTCAGATTTTTACCAGACACCAATGCAGCATCATGTCTTGATACTTTTGCAAGGAAGAAGTTCTCTTTGCTAGTGTTACATTTTGTTTACTGAAATAGGCATTAACTTCCTTGGAAAGACTACAAAGTGTTGCTTTTGAGTAGGTTTTCTCAGTCTTTCTCTGCTCTCCTGAAGCGATCTATATAACCATGAATCTGTCTAATCTTTATGCAGGTAACAGCATTCCATCTATGGAAAGCAAGAGAAAACCCCTAACAATAGAACATACAAGCTTGGCCTGCATGGCTGGGAAGCATCTTGTTTATGTACTGGATGGACAGATAGTTTTTCTGCCCAGGAACAGAGGTAAGAGTGTTACCTGTTCAAGGCCAGTAGACTCATCACAGATGTTTTCTGGCAGAAGAATGAACATGCTGAGCTCTTCTCCATTGTACGGGAGCTCCAGCACTGTCACATGGTCTTCTTGTCTCCTGGCTAATTTATATTTTCCTGTCCGACACATCATTGGTACATTCCTGTGCTCTCTCTAAAATACAGGAAACAATAGCCAGAAAAAAAAAACAGGCAAAATAAAGCAAGCAATAAACACCACGGGATCATCCTGCTTGAAATTTCTTGCTGATTTTCCATGAACCCTCCTCAAACCACTGTATATTTTTGCTGAGGGCACTGGCAGAGGCTCAAGCTTAGTGAAAGCCATAACAGTTGCTCTAAGGGCTTCTTGTCCTCTGTGCTGTAGTTTGTACTGCTCTTCTAATACCACTTCCACTATAACCCCCAGGAAAGGCTGATGTGTCCTCAGCAAAGTCTCCTCTATAACTCAGCCTCTCCAAGGAGCTACCAAAGCTTGCCCTCACATGACCCCCTTCACAGAGGCACTCGGGAATAGGATGTTGCTTTCTCATTTCTCAGGATGAAGGCTTTCGGCTTGGATAAACTGGGCTCCCACACCTGAGCCAAGCAGAGAATTACTCTGCAGACAGCAAAGCACAGGTTACTCAGACTTTCCACGCTTTCCCCTGCTCCCCACAGCTCTTGCCCCAACTGTACCTTGTTCAGTCTGAAAGGCATTTTCCTGGTGTTTTTGTCCTCAAATTTTATAGCCCATTGCCCTTTGAAGTGTATAGCGTTGACCAGAGCTAGCACTGTTGTGCTATCAATAGAGCCAGGAGGGAACAGATCTTTAATTTTCCCTTTAAAACAACAAACAAAGGTGAATTATGCTTTTATTTTGACCATTGACTAAGGATGATCCCATTGCTTCCTCACTTGGAAGAAATGTCCTTTCATGGCAAGAACTGATCCACAGGTTTAGCAGAGTCAAAACTCCCAGGAGCTCAGGGCCATCTTATGTCACAAGCTGCTTTTACAGTAGCCACAAGCAAAATGAATCACTCCATAGCGTTTCTCAATGTTGCTAGACTCAGGAAAAGGAATAAACTCATACACCAGGTATTGACTTCTCACATGGTCCTGTTGCAGGCCTTGACCTTACCACCAGTTTGCTTTTCCACCCAAGAATTCATCTTCCCTCTGGACTCTTCAGCAGCATTAATGAAGTCCACTGCTTCCAGCTCTGCGTGGTACAAATCCCTTGCGGAGTCTAAGTATTGCTGCAAAATAGGGAGGAGAGCTGGCTCTCATGATCGTGGTCGGGGAGCTACTTGACCAGAGGGAAAAATAGGAGTCCAAGAAAAGGTTGCTAACCTGTAGGCCAAAGCTCTGTGTGGAGCTACTTATTACAGTATTAATGTCCTGTGACTCTTCAGGAGGGATTCTGGGCACAGAGAGGTGTGAAGCAACCATTTCCTAGGACATCTTTCATGTAAGAGAGTCCCAGCTCTACTGTCTTTTACTCTTGCTGTTCTTTGTGAGAAAGTGTTTTGCTTTTTCACCACGACAACCATTTCAGCAAGATAGATGTAGGGGAGGGCAGGGCTCAACCCTGGCAGCCTGGTCATCACCAATGGTCTCTCCTTCCCTGTCCTTGCAGAGCAGCCTCCCCACTGCTGCTCCCTGGCACTGCTCCCTCCCGCTCACTGTGTGTGGAGCCCCGTTCACTTCAAAGTGCCAGCAAATGAAAAATAACACGCAAGGACTTCATATCCCACATTTTGCACAGCACAAATGAGCAGAAAGAATGCTCTGGGATCAGGCCATTGAAGTCAGGTCTCATATATAGCTGTGTGTGCAGAGAAGAACAACATGAACTCTTTCCCTGTGATCCAGTGTGCAGCCCAGGCAGAACTTGTATTTCCCTTGTATGGAATGATAATTGCTGTGGAAATGCTCTGCACTACACTGCTTCTCAAAGATGCAAATGTGCTGCAGCATTTTAAAAAGCGTAGATGAAAGGTGCCAATTCCATCTATATCAAAGCATGAAGAAACATAATTTTGGTGGAAACTGCTACCCAGGACTTTCAAAAGTATTATCTCCTCCTCAGGAAATGAAGACCTTGACTTTGTACAAAGCCTATTAAATCTCATAAATTGCTTTCTTTATACTCTGTTCACTCTATATTTCATCCCTTCGTGAGAATTTGCTTTTCTGTGACAACAGCAGCAATACAGAAACATGCAATTTAATGTCCTTAGCAGAGTTCCAAATGTAGTACAGAAGTTTTTCAACACTAAAAAGCCTGTAAACAGTTTTCACCTACCTGAAGGAACTGAAAAGTCTCTTCTCCAAAGAGTCTATTGGCAATGCTGAGGGAACATGTAGCACCAGCTTTGCCAAGGGCAACCAGAAGCTCCTGGAACTGAGAAGGGGCTCCTCCGGCTTCTCCATACTGCAGGCAGAAGGGGAAAGTTTTCTTTAGGAAGTCATTCTCCCCTGGAGCTCCATCCATGTACCCTCAGGCTGAAACAGTGGTCACTCTCCCCACATACATTTGTGGGGCCAAGGGGCATGCAAAGACCCACAAACACGTCTGGGCTTCCTGACCATCCAAAGTCACACACTTGCCTACCTCCCCTCCTGTAATTTCCACTTTGAAAAAGGATCATCCTGTTTAAATCTAGCAACACTTTACACAGCAAAGCAACAGAGTCTCTTCTGCATGTGCACATAGGTTTCAGATTTTGATGAGAACAGGGCAGATCTCTGCTCTCACCAGGTTTTTGGATGGAGTGCTGCCATTTAGCAGGTAAGTTTGACTTGCCCTGCTTTTCTTCATGCTACAGTTCAATGTTATCACACAGTTCAGAGACTATCTCACCTTTTCAGGGGTGCTCTTGGTTCCTAAACTTGTCATGTTCAACAACTCATGAATATGAAGCACCTGCGATATAAATGCAATATAAATCTATTTAAATAGACTAATTGAGATACAAAGAACACATTGAGACTGCACTAGATACTCACAGGCACTGCAAGTCAGATGAGCATGTTTGGAAAGGAGAGCTTTGACACCTGTAGCTGCCACTTCTTTCAGTTTGCTGCTTGTGAAGAACATGGCCCGGACTGCCAGAAAGCCTCTTTTCCATTTCCAAATATAAGCCTCTAATAGCAGTTCCCAGGAAAAGGAAAGAAACTCACCTTTTCCATCTCTTCAGCTGTGTTGCCTCTGGCACCCAGCTGGACCATGCTCAGGGCAGCTGAGATGCTCAGTGGGGAGAAGAAGATATTTTCATTTATTTTCACTTTTCTCAGCTCTTTGAAGAAGTCCAGGCAGAACTTGGCATTTGCTGCACTGAGGGAGCCCATCGTGGTGTGGCCAATGCCTACAACAGGACAACTGCGTAATCCATCTCACAAACATTGCCATGGTCAGAGGACACAGTGTGGAGAGAGTTGGAAATGCAGGCCCTTTCTCAGGAAACTCAGCGCCCCAAGCACTGACTCACGCCCAGAAGCAGGTTTCAGACCATGCTTAGCACTTCATAGTGAAGTGCATCCCACATCCTGACCCAAACAATCACCTCTGGGCAATCACCCCTTTAGTCATACTCTTGCTCTTCCCCAGTCTGCTCCAGCTAGCTCCACACTCACATTCATGCCCTCAATTTTTTTTTTTTCTAAAGGCTGTACACTGTGTAAATACGGTCACACGGTCAACATCCTATTTTGTGCAAGAACTGCTACATGGTTCAGAAGAACTGGCCAACCTTCAGACACTCTGTGTTTCACTGAAGTATATTGTATGAAACCTTTTTTTTGTTTGTTTGTATATTGTGTAAAATATGAAGAACATCACTGCATGAAAACAACCAACAGAGAGACCAGCAAATTGGATTGCCAAGACATAGCCAAACAACAACACGGAAAGGCCTTCCTCTGCCTCCTGAATTTGAGGTAGCGAGTTCATACATGTTGCAGCACTTCTAAGATAACTGACTTGCCATTTATCTCCTTTGCCTTTTAAGGGAATTACCAAATTCCCTCCTGCTGTTGAGTGAGCTTGTTCACTCGAGCCAAGAATTTGGTTACATACTTCCTCCATCTGGGGACTTTCACATCCATCAAATGTAGAAGTCAGCCCTGTAAGCAGAAATACCGCAGCCTGCCTTTGTGTATGGCTGCAACACACATTACCCCCACCTAGCTTCTGTTTCCAGTGCTATCACTACCCTGAGAAAAGCTAAAGCTGAGCAAGTTACCTTCTCCCGGGAAGAGCTGACTCTGACAGCTTCTTTGCTGATGGAGTGCAGTGTCGTCCCTCGTCTTAAACGGAAACCAACCACTGTGTTTTCTGGCTGCCTGTCCAGTTTATTTCTGAAGATGAAGCGTGCCTGGGGAAATGAAAGTGAAACAGAGAGAGTACCAGGAGAATGGCTTTTAAGGTCCCACAGTAAAGTGGGAGACACAAGCCCTGTTTCTTCTGGTTTTCACTCTCTGAAACAAGTAGGGAAAAAAGGAAATACCTTTTTCCCCTCCCAGAGAGGAGGCACCCTGATGATGATGCTGCATCTCACTGGCTCGCTCTGGTGAATCATCTCAGATGTGATAAACAGCTGCAGAAAACATACAGGAACAGCAAGAGTGAAACAGAACCAAATCAGGAAATAAGAGTCTGATACACAGCATTCAGAGAGGTACCCCTCCCTCTCCCTGAAGTACTTATGTGCATCTCATAACCTCTGTCTTGTGGGGAGCCTTGACAGTCCTGCAGCAGATGATAGAGCTAAGCCCATAAACATGACATGTTATTTTGTCTTTAACCCACACCTTTCCAGAAAGGTGCAATGATCCAGACTGTGCCCCAGTAGTTTCTCTGCCTGAGGGCTTGAAGAGCTAAGGCTTGGACAACTGGCCCAAGCCAGAGTTGACCTATAGATGAATCCTGTATATTTTATAACTGAAAAACATTGTGCTAGTAGGTATTGTACATATAACAAACCACCTATTCTGATGTAAAAAGTGCTAAAGCATTGAAGTACTGCAGCCTGAACAAGAGGCCCCAAGCCGAAGCTGCTAACTTGTTATGTAATCATTAACAAAGTACGTAAACTCGCTAGTGAGAGATGCAGCTTAGACAAAATACAATCAGTACTGAGGAGAGAATGTATCCAACTTCCCTTGTTTAGCCTTGTTCAAGGCTGAGAACCCGCATATCTGGCCTTGTTAGAAACTTCCTTGGTTTTCCCCCCTGAGCCCTGGCCAGGCTTTGGGTAGAATCCAACAGGAGAATGGAACCAGAAATTTTCCGCTCAAAACAAAGGTCCCAGCTATTCCGGCTTGTCGATCTCTGGTATATAAGGCTGGACCCGCTCACAGTGACTTTGGGTGCCTCATCTATGGGTAGACTCACTGTATAGGATTTCCCACTTGCCGGGACAGGCTCTACAAACCCTCGCTGTAACCGGGGCTCCCCAGCCACTGCGGGTCTGGGTGATGATAATATAAGCAAGTGGTGATGTATTTTGCTTAATCTCCATTCTCTCTCTCGTGTAGTAATGATTTGATGCATTACCCTGTTTTTTGCTGTTTGCTGCTTTAAGTGCACTATTCTGCTTTTTCTTACTGCATGTTTTCTGTATTACACTGTTATCACTAGTAAAATATGTCTACTCTTGTCACTCTGGTGTCTGAGTTTAACTGGTATCCTTAATCAGCAGAACAGGGCTACGCTTAGCTGAGGCTGTCTCAGCACAGGCACTTTGTCTGTCTCAGGGATCTCAGCAAGTTTTTCTTCCTGTGTCAACAAAAGCCAAAGAGTGGAAGGAGCATATGGTGGCCTTCAGCAGCACATCCCAAGCTGAGTTTTGAGCATCCCCCAGCCTGTGGATCAGGAGGTGGCAGGCCTAACCACATGCTACAGGACCTGGTCCAGAGGGCGGTAGTCCCAGTTAAACAGCTTTGGAAACAGATCCTGACACCAAGATTCTCCCATATGGCAAGAATTTTAGGGAACAAGATGTTTTCTACTGATCTTATGCAGGAAAAAGGCAAGAGGAGGTGAAGTGAAGACACCACCAGCCCCACTTAGGAGTACCGCCATCACTGATGGTTATGTGCAGGGAAGACCATTGAGCTGGAGCAGTTCCTTCACTCAGACTGGTGCTTCTTGCCCCTGCAAGGCTGGACATGGATTTTCCCCACGACACCACAGAGAGTTAGATATTGCAATGAGGGCACTTTCAGCTGAGATGCTCAGCTGTGAATATATGTTTCTGTAGTCCAGCTATGGACCTGGTTTCCTATCCCCTAGGCCTAGCCCACATGTTTCAGCAGAATTGTGTGGGGAACTTGAGCCATCAATGGTTTTGGCTTGAAATGTATGTGGGGCTCATGAGGCTTTTGTTGAGCTCCACAGTCACTGTCAGTCTGCATCTCTGGATGGCTTGTAGAAAACAACAAGCAAAAAAGGCAGCAAGGTGGAATTGCTCCTATCTGGGGGCACAGGAGATACACCAAATGCCTCTGGATATGTCTTTCAAGATACTTCATATTCATCACCATTCATGAATAAGGAAACGGGCAACACCTTGCCAAAGCACGCACTTACTCATCTTTTGAGCCTGGAAGCTGTTCTGACAAGCAGCAGCCAGCTTTTTCACAATGTTTCCCCCTGGGGTCTTGAACCTGGTTGTGGTCTGAGTACTGTGTTTATTTTAGGCCAACAGGCACTGTGCCTGGCAGTGCTCCAGGCAGTATATCGCATTTCTCACAGAAGACCAGCAGCTGACTCCATTGAGCAAAATGCAGCTAAGCCCCCATATAGATATCCCATGATAATTGCATTAATCTGAAAATATTATTTGGAAGACTTTGCCCCATATGAAACTTTGGATTGAGAAAGCCTTTCCCCTCAGTAGTCACCACTCTACCATTTAGTATGATAATTTCTCACTCAGCAGGCTGAGGCTGTGGAAAAGTCAGGACTGGTCATTGCTGGCCTATGTTTGGGGCTGCTTTGTGCTGATAGATTTTGGGGGAGAGAAGTGATGGGTAACAGAGCAGGCTGCAGTGGGGGTCTCTTGGGAAAGGCACTGTCAGGCCTGTGAGTAGGGGTAGAAGCACAGTTGGTGCTGCAAGGTTGCAGGCTGCAACAAGTGCCGTGCCAAAAGCTAGCTGCATCACGAGGCGTTGCACAAGAAAAGACACCCATCAGGGTATGCAATAGAGGTCCTTCAGTAGTGCTTTTCCAGCATGTTTAAAACTGGCAGTAAGTGTATGGAGAAGCTGGACCCTATTTCCAAACTGTAGCAGTCAAGTGAGGGAGTAATGCAAAAGAATCTTGGAGCTGTGTAGGTGGCAGTACTCTTATACAGAAGTCATCTACAGTGCAGTTATTGAACTGCTAAGTTATCAGTCCTTGAGTTCCCTTCTTGTGTCATTGGCTGCATTCATTCAAGTAATGGCTTCAAAAGGAGGGTGGGCGTTTTTCCCACTCAGCCTATACTAAAACCTAGTGCCCGATCGTGCTTGGTGCATTCACCTGGGAGACACAGGCTTGAAACCCAGCAAGGGTATGAGATACACTGAAGACAGGCCCTTCACCTTCTGAGCCACATGAATTCCTCCACTGCAGAAGCTATGTATCATTTTCACTTAAAAAAATGAAGTCACTCTAATGGCATTTTCAGGGAGCACTATTTGAATAGCTTGCACAAGGTCTGCTTTGAATGCATTCACTAGATGTTCCCCCAGGATTTCCACCTGTTGTGGTTGGAACTCGGCTGGAAGCCAGTCACGACGTGGCCAGTCATTTACTTCTGCCCCTCTTCCCTGGTGAAACAGGGGAGGGACAAAAAACCTAAAATTCATAGCTTGAATTAAAAAAAAAAATAGTAACAGTAATAAACCAACAGTAACAATAGTAAGTCCAAACGGGTAATATATAGTGCAGTGGCTCACTGACTGGCACACAGCCCACCCCCAGCAGCGATCCTGACTGCACCAGAAATCCCACTGAGCCAACCGGGAAGATCTTCTAAGGAGGACGCTAAACATTGGTTCTATTGTGTAAGTTTGATACTTTGACAAACAAGGCCTTGCTAGTGACTAAACCCTTGAAGGAGAACACCTGCCCCAGAAGGAGCCAAAGGCTGGATGATTGCCCAAGAAGCCTGAAGGCAGAGAAAACTGGTGTTAACTGAGCGAAAGGTAAAGGCAGCAGGGGAAGATCACGACCACCAACTCAAATTGGATGAAAAGGTTGATGCACCCCATCCCACACCAGTGCATGCGCAGAACCCATGCTCCACCTTTTCTCACGTCTCATGCTAATGAGTTTGTGGAAAACCCACCTCTCCTCATCTAGTATGCAAATCAGCTGATAAGAGGAACTTAAAAGGTGACAGAAAATGTTGCTGGGTGCAAACCCACCACTCAAGATTACCAGACCTGAGACAATGCTGGAACCTAGGGTGGTGATCCAGATTCTTTGACTTTCTTTTTTTCCTTTCCTTTTCTTTAACTTCTTTTCATTTCTTTTTTATAGATTCATCAATAAGCGGCAACATCCTTTACTATCCTTTTCCAAGTTTAAGTTGTTTCTATGCAAGTAAAACTTTTTAACCAGTCATTTGATGTTGTTTCATTTTAATTTAACCAGAGGGAATCACAAAACCTTTACGACTCCCTGGGCTCTCAGTCCAGGTTGTAACAGCATCCACAGCTGCTAATGAATCCTCTAAGAAGGGTTGTGGCCCCACAGTTTGGACAAGAAAGCTGAAGCACTGTGCAACCTGAATGCACCATGCGAAATTTCAAGAGCAGTGGCAGAGACTTGTGTAAATTTCTACTGCCACCACTTGCCTCACACTGAACACAAACATTAAAAGTGATACTCTGAAAGTGAAACTTTCAGCACTGATCATGTCTCTAAATCCAGTCTCAGGCCATGAGCACTGAAACGTAGTATTTCTTCATCTTACAGCTTAAAAGCTATATATTTTGCCAATAGCCATTATTCCAATCACAGTCAAGTTTCTCCCACTTCCAGTTCCAGACAGGGGTTGGAAAACAAAACAGATCCTACATGGTTCAGTAAGTCTAAGATGGGATATTAGAGTCAGGAGAATTTGAGATTTTAAAATATATGCATATATGTTTCAGGCCTAAGACACAATATTTAATAGCTCTTAGGTTTTTGGTTTTTTACCAGCTCAGATATTTTGTGATACAACATGGTTCATATAAACTAGTTCGTCTGGCTGTAAATCAGTAACCAATCAGAGCTCAGTGGAGTTAGTCAAATCCAGCTAACCAATGTGCAAGACACAGAACTACAGAATGGGGTTTGGGTCAGAAGGGACCTTTAAGGATCACCTAGTCCAACCCCAGGGGCTCAGGGCAGAGCAACAAATACATGGCTTCACTAAGGGAAAATCATGTCTGATGAATTTGGTGGCCTTCTACAACAGGGTTACAGTGCTGGTGAATAA